TATATATATATATATATATATATATATATATATATATATATATATATATATATATATATATATATATATATATATATATATATATATATATATATATATATATATATATTATATATATATATATATATATATATATATATATATATATATATATATATATATATATATATATATATATATATATATATATATATATATATATATATATATATATATATATATATATATATATATATATATATATATATATATATATATATATATATATATATATATATATATATATATATATATATATATATATATATATATATATATATATATATATATATATATATATATATAATATATATATATATATATATATATATATATATATATATATATATATATATATATATATATATATATATAATATATATATATATATATATATATATATATATATATATATATATATATATAATATATATATATATATATATATATATATATATATATATATATATATATATATATATATATATATATATATATATATATATATATATATATATATATATATATATATATATATATATATATATATATATATATATATATATATATATATATATATATATATATATATATATATATATATATATATATATATATATATATATATATATATATATATATATATATATATATATAATATATATATATATATATATATATATATATATATATATATATATATATATATATATATATATATATATATATATATATATATATATATATATATATATATATATATATATATATATATATATATATATATATATATATATATATATATATATATATATATATATATATATATATATATATATATATATATATATATATATATAATATATATATATATATATATATATATATATATATATATATATAATATATATATATATATATATATATATATATATATATATATATAATATATATATATATATATATATATATATATATATATATATATATATATATATATATAATATATATATATATATATATATATATATATATATATATATATATATATATATATATATATATATATATATATATATATATATAATATATATATATATATATATATATATATATATATATATATATATATATATATATATATATATATATATATATATATATATATATATATATATATATATATATAATATATATATATATATATATATATATATATATATATATATATATATATATATATATATATATATATATATATATATATATATACATATATATATATACATATATATATATATATATATATATATATATATATATACATATATATATATATACTATATATATATATATATACATATATATATATATACATATATATATATACATATATATATATAATATATATATATATATATATATATATATATATATATAATATTTTCAGTAGCCCACGTATGGAGTAGAAAAAAGAGTAAATCTCAAAGCAAGAACCATAATGCCTTCATAAAATACAAAGAACTTCACTATTTGCTATAGATAGAAACCTTAAGAAATTAAGGGCAACCTCACAACAACAAAGATACACCTAAGGTGACTAAAGCTGTCTCTATGGCCTCTACACATTCCGTACTCTGGCAAAGAACCAACAAACTTCTGCAATGTATATTATGACAAGGTAGAGAATGGTAATTTGCCATAAAATGAGAAGCCATTCTTATTGCTATCTAGTGAAGTATATGGCAATGGGATTTTCATGCTGAACAGAATTAAGAAGCATTAAACTGCTAAGATCTGGACACCCTTCGTCTACAACATTTCCTTTACATATTGATAAAAAGAAAGTTATATAACCTCTAAATATCATACTAAAAGCAGCTCCTTTAAACTTCATTCTTCACTCTGGTTATATTCTAACTGGTGTACACTTGTTTGGGAAAGCGCCTGCAATTATAAACTCCCCTTAAATTGACAGGTCACTCACAAGCAATAGCATTTCATGTTTCTTATAGTTTGAGTATTTGTGAAGTTTGACTTTTGAAGCAGATCTAGGCCATTCTCATATTGAGGGGATGTGTCTGATTGTCATAACAGTTGCAGTGCAGGTTACATAATAATAATGCATGATATACATTGACATGAAATGATGTTTTTACCAAGTGGAAGTGGAGCCTGATCCCTCTGAATTATCCCCTTTCCCTGGAGGGGTTACTTTTATAGGACACATGGCCACATGACCCTGTGAATGGATTATGGTATTCTTCTGTCTTGTTTTGGTTATATTTAACCCAATGACGCCGGGTGTACTAAAGGAAAATAAAACTCTACGCTCTGGCAAACAAAGGCAGCGCGCCGACTTTGAGCGCCGGAGTACGGGGCGTCAGCCCGAATCACTGGCTCGCCGCGCTTTGGCGCGCCGCCGGCTGGTTTGGCCGCACGCCACCTTTCGAGCGATTTGTTTACACGCGTATCGCCGTCACCCGGCGGCAAGGGGTTAAGTATGACTTCAAGCATATTACAGGAATGTGTGTGCGTGAGTGTGCGTGTGCGTGTGCGTGTGCGTGTGCGTGTGCGTGTGCGTGTGCGTGTGCGTGTGCGTGTGCGTGTGTTTGTATATATATACTCTATTCTACACGACATAGAAGCTTTGGAAGATGTTAAAGGATTCAGCATAGTTTCCAATATTTTATGGTAAAGTATACAAGTATTGATTAAGGTCCACAAAAGGACTGCACTGACTTGAAGAAAATTTAAGATTATGGCATTTTAGAAAATTAAAAGCTACATTCATTAATATAAGAATTAATCTGCAGAAGCCAACCAATTCGAGTTAAATGATGAAAATGTGTAGCGTCAGAGCCAATCATTATTAATCTCTCAGAAATGCAGTATACAACTGATGTATTACTGTATTTTAAACTACAAAAAAATATACCAATTCCCCATGAGATCCCCCAAGACTGTTGACTGGAGTCTAGTCCTATTGTAAACCTTTACGCAGGTATTGAAAAGTAGCTCTGAGGACAATGTGGACCTAGTGGGAGTGGAACTTGACCTTCCCTGACCTTCCCCTTCAGGCTTTGCATGGTCACATGATCTACAGCATGGGTCTAGGATGGCAGCATGGCTTAACATTAATTTCAACATTCCCACATTAGATATTCAACCATGATCTCAGGCATAATACTGGAATACTTTCCAGTATATTACTCTGACACATGGTGAATGTTTATTTACCTCTTTGCTGCAGCACCATGAGACATGGAGGCAACTGGAATCATTGTGTACCAGGTATACCATGCCACTGAGTTAAGTATAATGAATTACTCTTTTATATATTTATATTTCACATCAGGCTGAAATCAAATGTGCTCTGTAAAGATAAGATGGACAAGATTTATACTGTTCAGAACCCCTACTCTGGTATCCGGGACAAGTTCATCTTGCCCTACTTTGCAGCCAGGCAAGCAAGGCAAGATGACATCACAATAGCATTTGTATGTAAACAATGACAGTTGCAGACAAGTTACTTATGCATCAGAGGAGTTACAAAACCTATGCAGCATGTAAAATAGAGACATCAGTATGATAAAATTGTAAATGTTTACTTTCAACTTGGGTGGCATTGTGGGTAATGAAGACCTTGGAGGTTGTGAGCATGTTTTGTTGTCCTGCTGGTCACGGCAAGTTATCTGGACAAGCAAGACAAGGAGTTCTGAACACAGCATAAGCTATGTGTTACCCCCTAACAAACCAAACTCTAATATCCTACTACCCCTTCCCAAAATTTGTCAGATGGGGGGGGGGAACAGCTGTAAATCCTGTAATGGAAGTTTCCACACAAAATGAACACCTGAATCATTTCACTCGCATCACACAGCATGGCATGATTATCAATCTTGTCTGTGAATGTCCAGCTGTTATAAGCAAAGACAGTGACAAAAATGACAACACGAGAGAGCTAGCCCTAACTTCCAGACATTATTCATACCGTAATAGGACCGGTTTCTCTGAAAGCCATCAACGAGGATGAGTTAATAAAAATGGAATGTTAGAAATATTACTTTGGCGCCCTGTTCTGTAGACTAAAGTGCAAAACTACTATCGAAGTAACCCGGAGGCAAAGTTATTGTACTAATACATCTGTTAAAAGTTAGAAGTCAGGTGAAAAAGAAAAAGGGTCATTGATTTTTTTTTTTAAGATACAAAATGAAATACTTACCCAAATCTCTCCTCTCGTCTTACATCGTCCAATATTGCCTCTATTTCCGATATATCGGCTTTCTTCCTCCATGCTTTCTTCTTGTTTTTGTTGTATTTTTTCTTTTTTCCTTCTCCTTCGGTTACCACCTTCATCACGCTGTCTTGTTTACGTTCCACACGCACACGAGGACCGACACTGTAGCCACATGTGGGCCTGCGATCATCCACAATATTTGAATTTATATCTTCTTTTATGATCACAAAACTATTTCATTTTATGGTTAAACTTCATTTATGTGTCTTGCAAGGATTATGGGATATGCATACTTGTAAGAAACTACAAACTTTATTATGTTTTTAATTTCTGATCTGGTATCAATGTTTGTGTTCTCAACTCATTGAGGGATTGTAATGATAAAATCTGGGTATTTAATGAAAATTTTAACTTCTTTCCTTCTGCGAGTAAATATCATGGAAAATGAAAACTTTTTCACATTCACAGAATAGATCTTATATCAGAGTAAGATTTAGAGCTCTGCATCTATAATGCGCTTTCGCTCCGTGTTGTTTATTGTATTGAAAAAAAGGCTACTGCTGGAGAGCTCAATAATTTCAGTCGGAGGTTAATAGTCCTTAGTGAAATTATCCACTTAACTGTGATCAGAAAACACCAGGAAAATAAATAATCCACTCAATAAATATATCTAAATATATCTACTTAACTGTGTGGAGTATAAAAAGAAAATACACTGGCGACATTGAAATTGAATTTCGATAAATATATGATAAATTATTAAAATACGATTATGGCAACAGTGATGGCATATCCTGATGTTTTATGGGGCAGCATAAATGGGGTGTTGATTGCAGTGTTGCACAAAGTATACACGTGCACGCGTGCGCACGAGTCGCAAACGCCACAACCTGTTCATTTTACATGCCACATTAGTCTCCTACCTCAGACTGGGCAGAAACCTCCATGTAGACTGAGATAATGAATGGCGTGGCACCTAGGGTGGACAAGCAGATTAACGGGGTGGCATATCCAGGGACGTCATTTGGGGGGCAATCGCCCTCAAAACTCTGAATGCTCCCCTTAAGGTCTGGCTTCCCCCCCACCCTCCAGGAGCCACACTCCCACAGTTATTTTGCCTAAATTACACATTTATAACTCAAGTAGCTTCAAAATGTTCCTAGAGTTGCTCATTTCTCAAAAAAAAAAATAATAATAAATAAATAATAATAATAATAATAATAATAATAATAATAATAATAATAATAATAATAATAATAATAATAATAATAATAATAATAATAATAATAATAATAATAATAATAATAATAATAATAATAATAATAATAATAATAATAATAATAATAATAATAATAATAATAATAATAATAATAATAATAATAATAATAATAATAATAATAATAATAATAATAATAATAATAATAATAATAATAATAATAATAATAATAATAATAATAATAATAATAATAATAATAATAATAATAATAATAATAATAATAATAATAATAATAATAATAATAATAATAATAATAATAATAATAATAATAATAATAATAATAATAATAATAATAATAATAATAATAATAATAATAATAATAATAATAATAATAATAATAATAATAATAATAATAATAATAATAATAATAATAATAATAATAATAATAATAATAATAATAATAATAATAATAATAATAATAATAATAATAATAATAATAATAATAATAATAATAATAATAATAATAATAATAATAATAATAATAATAATAATAATAATAATAATAATAATAATAATAATAATAATAATAATAATAATAATAATAATAATAATAATAATAATAATAATAATAATAATAATAATAATAATAATAATAATAATAATAATAATAATAATAATAATAATAATAATAATAATAATAATAATAATAATAATAATAATAATAATAATAATAATAATAATAATAATAATAATAATAATAATAATAATAATAATAATAATAATAATAATAATAATAATAATAATAATAATAATAATAATAATAATAATAATAATAATAATAATAATAATAATAATAATAATAATAATAATAATAATAATAATAATAATAATAATAATAATAATAATAATAATAATAATAATAATAATAATAATAATAATAATAATAATAATAATAATAATAATAATAATAATAATAATAATAATAATAATAATAATAATAATAATAATAATAATAATAATAATAATAATAATAATAATAATAATAATAATAATAATAATAATAATAATAATAATAATAATAATAATAATAATAATAATAATAATAATAATAATAATAATAATAATAATAATAATAATAATAATAATAATAATAATAATAATAATAATAATAAT